GTTTTTGCCGTTATTTCACAATTGTAGAAATTCATTCATCCATTATACTTAGGCTTAGTCCCTTTATTAATCAGGGGTTGCCACAGCGGAATGGACCAACAAATAGGCCAGCATATGTTTTACACAGCTGATGCTCCTCCAGCTGCAACCCAGTACTGGGAAACATCCATACACACTCATTCACTGCAGCCAATTAAGTTTATTTAATTCCTCTACAGTGCATGTGTTTGGACTGTGGGGGAAACCGGAGCACCCGGAGGAAACCCACGCCAACACAGGGAGAACAAGCAAACTCCACAAAGAAATGCCAACTGAGCCAACCGGGGCTCGAACCAGCGACCTTCTTGCTGTGAGGCGATTGTGCTACCCACTGCGCCACCGTGCCACCCCCAGTGCTTCAGTCAATAATTTAACAGTCTAAATAATAAACATTTATTTTAATGATGTTTCATTTCGAGTTTTATGTTTGTCTGTTTTTTTATTTATTTATTTTTTTTCACATTTTTCAGTTGTTTAATATAATAGTTTTAAAATAAGTTTGGAGTATCATCTCTTTTCAGTCAGCTGTAATGGAGACTCTATGCGTGTGTGCGTGCGTGTCTGTGTGTGTGCTTTTTGTGTGTGTTCGCATGTGTGTGTGTGCGTGTGTGTGTGTGTCTGTGTGTGTTTTCTGACTCTCATCATGCTGTGTGCAGGTTATCAGCAGAGAACAGAAGCGGAGAGAAGATGCAGCTTTCGATGAGCAACATCAGTTCAGATGTTCTGGAGCTTCTGCTGGAGTTCGTTTACACCGGATCGCTCATCATCGACTCTGTGAACGCCAAAACCCTCCTGGAGGCGGCCAACAAGTTCCAGTTCAGCACTTTCTGCAAAGTCTGCATCTCCTTTCTGGGTAAGAGCCGGACCACAGTTTGCATTTCATCAAAGCACTGTAAGAAAAACGCTGGATGCCACACAATCGATTTTGTTAGGACAACATGAAGGATTTAAAGGTCCTGTGAACAGGAGGTGCGTCCCAAATTGCATACTTAAGCACTATTCTACGCCATTTTGTAGTATAAATAGTGCAAGTAGTGTGTTCACACTGAAAAAACTAATAAGTGCACTTTAATTACCCCGATGATGCACTCATTCGACCGGTAAAATGAAGTGTGTAATGATGGACACTTCACACACTCAGTGACTGCAGCTTTGCTCACGTAGCGAAAGGGGCGGAGCTATCGGCCGCACATGTTGGATAACTTTATTTATTTTAGATGGTGAAAGCAAAATTCTTCTTCGAGAGTGACTATAGCGCCTCCCGATGGTGAATGTGGTTATGCTCATGGCAGGTATTATTTGGTACTTCAGTAATTTAATCCCCTAATTTGGCAACCGCCAAACGTCATCAAGGAAACGTTTTGAATTTCCGTTTAGTAAAAAAACACTTGTGTTTGATTTGGGACGACACTACATACAGCTGAAACCAGAAGTTTACATATTCAATTCAATTCAGCTTTATTTGTATAGCGCTTTTACATTGTAGATTGTGTCAAAGCAGCTTCACATAAATGGTCATAGTAACTGGAACAGTGTAGTTCAGTTTTTAGTGTTTAAGTTCAGTTCAGTTCAGTTTAGCTCAGTTCAGTGTGATTTAAAACCATTACTGAGAGTTCAAACTCTGAAGAGCAAATTCATCGATGCGTAGCTCTACCAATCCTGAACCATGCGAGCCAGTGGCGACAGCGGAGAGGGAAAAAAACTTCACCTGATGGGAGTGAAGAAAAAAAACCTTGAGAGAACCAGACTCAGTTGGGCACGACCATTTTAATTTCTCCGCTGGCCAAAAGTCTTGTGCAGAGCTTCAGTCACCGCGGTGGAGGCTGGAAGATGGCCTCAGCGAAGACTCATCTGTCCCTGGAGCGTCAAAGGAATCAGTCTCATGTTCACCACTCCCCACGACCATCAGCGCAGCAGCAGCTCAGGATATGGCCTAGTCCCGGATATGGCAACCTTGGGATCATCACGTCGCTGGTCTTGGATCCAATCAGTGACTCTGCATAATCTGAGGACCTCGACAGGAGTATCCCCAGGTGAAAATAGAGGATAAAGAGAATAAAGAGAATAATTAGCATAGCTGCTGTTCATAGTGTATATAAGCAAGATGCAGAAGCCTGTGTGGAACCCGCTAGGTGATGCATTGAGTGTATGCTTTACTAAACAGATAGGTCTTTAATCTAATTTTGAATTGGGAGAGTGTGTCTGAGCCTCGGATGTTATAAGGAAGGCTATTCCAGAGTGTAGGAGCCATGAAAGAGAAGGCTCGACCTCCTTTACTCCATTTTGCTATTCTAGGTACTACCAGAAGCCCTCAGTTTTAAGATCTTAAAGAGCGAGTTGGTTTGTAGCGAGACAGAAGGTTGGTTAGATAATCAGGAGCTAGATTATTTAAAGCTTTATAGGTGAGAAGTAATATTTTAAATTCAATATGAAACTTAACAGGCAGCCGGTGTAAGGAGGA